TTTTTATACGTACTGTACTACTGAACAAAGCTGTTATTTTTATATGTACTGTACTAGAGAACAAAGCTGTTATTTTTATATGTACTGTACTACAGAACAAAGCTGTTATTTTTATATGTACTGTACTACTGAACAAAGCTGTTATTTTTATATGTACTGTACTACAGAACAAAGCTGTTATTTTTATATGTACTGTACTACAGAACAAAGCTGTTATTTTTATATGTACTGTACTACAGAACAAAGCTGTTATTTTTATATTTACTGTACTACAGAACAAAGCTGTTATTTTTATATGTACTGTACTACAGAACAAAGCTGTTCTTTTTATATGTACTGTACTACAGAACAATTATATGTACTGTACTACAGAACAAAGCTGTTATTTTTATATGTACTGTACTACAGAACAAAGCTGTTATTTTTATATGTACTGTACTACAGAACAAAGGTGTTATTTTTATATCGTACTGTACTACAGAACAAAGCTGTTATTTTATATGTACTGTACTACAGAACAAAGCTGTTATTTTATATGTACTGTACTACAGAACAAAGCTGTTATTTTATATGTACTGTACTACAGAACAAAGTCTGTTATTTTTATACGTACTGTACTACTGAACAAAGCTGTTATTTTATTATGTACTGTACTACAGAACAAAGCTGTTATTTTTATATGTACTGTACTACTGAACATCTTTACACTATGTACAGTCTGAAGTGTAAAGATGTTGTCTTTGTTGTCAAATTGTGCAAGTTAAAGTAATGTTTAAGGTTAAATGTATTTGATATGTCATCATGTATACCTTACTACCTCATCACCTGATACATGAAGAAGTATTTAAACTTAAAGAAAGTTATTTTAGCAGTAGAGCACCTGTTGTGCTATGGTTAAATGTTGCTTAACATGTTCTGTTGAAGTTAAAAGAATGTTTATGAAAGTTTCTAATATATTTCTATAAGTTATGTATAACAGAGTTTATGGATATTTATACAGTGAGTTCATTAAAAAAAATTAAAGCAGTTGATTATGTGTAACTTCTTATATTCTCACACATTCACAGAAGGAAAATGAACATGATTTTGAAGATCACATTTATTATCAAGTAATACGCATCAAAGGATATTGTAGACCATTTTTTGTCTTCAGTCTTCTCTTAAACACTGTAGGGTAGCACTCTTTAATGGCCCCTCCAAACGTGTCCTTAGAAATCCCATCCGTATACGTTCTGCTGTATATGTCGTAGGCGTCCTGCACCCTCAAATGATGCCCTTCCTTCTGGGCAAACAAGTTCCTGAGTCTAACACAATTAGCAGACATGTAACTGTTATCGGGTATTTGAATCCCACCAACCACTCGAAATTTTCCACACAAAAAACATTGTAAAACCACGTTGTTTAGGTCGCCAGTTTATTTACCAAAATCCTGCAGCAGCCGGCTGTAGAATGAAATCACAAGTCAAGAAACTTTTTCTTCTCACTTGATAGTTCAATCCACAAATTTTGATTTTCTTCTTCAAGATTATCTATTGTTCTCTGTTGCTTCTTAACTTCCACCGAAAGGCAAACCCGCTTTGCTTTCTCTGATAAAACCCTCCTGGCTAACTTCCTCTTCCGAGGAGTATCACATGCTGACAACATTCTCGCCTCGGTGCTCTCCTCTGCTGGAGGTATAAACGTCTGCTGTAGGAACTGAGCCCTTTTCTTTCCACGGAGTTTTACAATGGTTCTCCCAACCCGAAGGATTTTCTTGTGCAATGAACTTGGTTTGTGCTTGAACTTGTTTCCCGCAGAACTTTCCAATTTAGCATGCAATTTCAAAACTTTCTCCTGACTTCTGATTGGTCCTGATTCTAAATATATACTGTAGATGTCTTGTTTATACTGCAAAATAAGATACAAGCAATATGAAGTCTGCAAGATCTACCACTTGGTTAGAAGGGACATCAAAGTGTGCATTGATAGTGATACCAACAGAAATACTAAGTCTTTCAAGTCTTCCAAAACATCTACTTTATCGAGCCTTTTACAAACTAAGTAGAGCCTGATGACCAGGCACATCTAACAACAAAGCTATAGTGCAGTAAAATTTCCTTTTGTCTCAAATTCAAATTTAGGAAAATAACAAAAAATATTTCCAAAACATGGTGGGTGATTCATCCCACCCCCATAGTCCTAAAGACAGTGAGAGAGAAGCGATGTTTTTCGACTATTTCGGTAACCTTCTCATCCAAAATATAGTCAAAAGCTAAAGCAAAATCATACATAAATTTGAGTTGCAATCAAAAATCAAAAGGAGTAAAAACGACTTACCTAGACAAGTTCAAATGCCGCAAACTCAGCTCGATACCACGTCAAATCACAAAGCGCGCGAAATGGTGAAAGGAGGGCTACCCCACCATGTGGTCCAAGCATGGGGGCGGTCATCTAAGAAGTGGATTTCCGCAGAAGTTCCTGCTTCAATATTCACATATTCGGTATCAAAAGAAAGCTAATCATGTGGGCAATATATCTAGAGGTGGGATGGACGTCTATTTTTGATTTGGTGTGAAAAAAAAATCAATTTATTTTCTTTAAAATCGTGTAAAACTTCACAACTTCGTCGGATCGATCCATCCCACCCCTCATAATAATTAGCATGGTTTCTTCTATTCGAGAATGCCCAAATATGGGTGTTCTCGTAAGCCGAACCCGCGGAAATCGGCCGAGAACACACCGAGTCAAAACACGAAGATGCGCGAAGGCCGGTCCACTTATGACGGCCATCTTTACAACGCGCGCGAGTGGACGGGAGCGGGTATGGTCGTCAAAACGGGTCTTTTTCTTCAATATTCTGCAAACTTAGCGTAATTTCTTTATTTGTAATGCCAGGTAATGTACCCAACTATGTTGTAACGTAAGTTTGTGCGATATTATCCTCCTGTTATTTTTCTACAATTTTTTTTTTCTGGGGACATACAGATCAGTCTTTCGCGTTCACCCCGAAACGCAGGCACTCTGATCACACTATTAATACAGTTATTTTCAGTCTTATCCTCATGTCTCTGACTTGATTTGAGGACTTTTTCCAGTCGCCACCGCGGATGTCGTTACAAACCCTAAGTGAGCCTCACTGGGCCACGCCACCGGATATCCTCTCCAGACAGGATGTACACAAGTGCCGCCAGAAAGTAGTACGTGACAAGGACGAAACATTTAGTAATAAGTGTTCGCTTTTAACAGTTTGCCTTATTTTTCGTATTGTGTTATATTTTTGAAGTATTAGTAGAATAATCTTTGCCTGGTATGATTTAGTTGTTGGTATACACGATATCTGACCACTTCCGCGGCGGATGGATATAGACAGAATTACTCGTCGCACAACCACCCAGCTTTAGTTGGAGAGGAAGGGCGGTGACGAGAGGTAGGTACTTCATTTCAGTCGCCTTTGTCTTTACAAATTGTCGCTTTTGTGACGGTCACTTTGCTTAGAAGGATATTTGAGATGCTGAGGTTACTCGTATGTAAATTTCGAGATGTCTTTCTGGGGCAAAGCCGGTTGATTTTGCCATTGCGCCACTCCGTGTTCTGTTACTGGCAGTTTGTGGAATGTGTCTCGCCACCCTGTCAGTTCGTCCGAACCTTTCGTCCCTAATCTTTAGTTTACTATTGTTTTAAAGTTTAACGTCTTGTGTGCTATACTTACAATAATACGACCGTAGCTGACGACAAAACTTGCCCATATTCAGTGTAAGGCTAGGCGCGTCTGACATCTGTGATGGATTATCTTGTTGGCGGGCGAGAACTGTGTCAATCAAACCGCAAGCATCAGGGCAGATGCATGGCGGCAGCAGACTTGTACGTGGCAATATATTTGGAAGACATGTTCCAAATAATTAACAGCCTAAGACATATTTTCTTATTGGTGGTGTTTATGTAGGTACATTTAGGCAAAGAAGATAGTCTGGCTCAAAATATGGAGCTTGTAAATATCTGGGTTGTACAGTTACTGTACTGTTATTATAGTTTTTGTAAATATGATATTTGACATTTTGTAGACGTGTAAATATCAACGCCATTCAGGCAACATTGTATGCCATGTTTGTGATGTTTGGTATCTTGTTAATTAATAAAGAATTGAATTGAAGATGCTATTTTAGGAAGTAATGTGGTAAAGATCCTAGTTCTCCACTTAATTTACCTTAAGGATTCAGATATCTGACCGCTGACGTTAACCTCTTCAAGAGCCATCCTAACCAACTGATGCCGTGTTTTCTGGTCATTATCAACTTTCAAGTTAAATTGTAGTGTAATGGTACTAATCTTTGTTCCTTATCTTTGTGTTTCTCTTCAGCAACACCTGAGATGAACATCATACATCATGGATTAGTTGCGAGGACCATCCCAAATAACACACCAGCAGCCGTGCACGGAAAAGTCGTACATGATGGAAATCAGCTATTCATCACAGCCTTCAACATCTTAGTTGTATGTAAAAACTGGTGACAGGGCAATTGGTTGACGTATCACTGAAGTTTGTCTTGTGACAGAACATCCAGCTTACTCAGGGGTTGTTAGGGTTAGGTCCATTCTTACAGCTGCCCAGCCTCTTGGAAACCCAGACTTCGGGGACTGTGCCACTGGCTCAGTGGGGGCTGGTTCAGCTTAGTTAGATGGGTTTGTTGGATGCTAATGTCTCATAACAATCTTTCGTATTACGCTATTTAGAAATAGTCCCTGAATCAATTATTCATTGTGGTACTTTGTCAACACAATCAGGAAAGGTAAGGCTTTTGTGTTTAATACTAAACGAGATCAGATATGTGCACAAGGCCAAGAGGTTTATACATGACATGGAGTCATCCAAGGTTTATCCTTCGGTCTAGCTAGTATAAATGCACACTTGAGTTTTCAGTTTACATGGATAAACCTACATTTGTTGTCGAGTTCTTGTTTGTATTTAGTAAACTCATCAGACTCCCAATTAAGAAATTCCCTCCATTGTCATCTGTGTCGGACTTGTAGTGTTCTCTCCAACACTCAAGAATACTCAATAATGAATCTCTTCATGACTGTACTCTACTGTGCTCGGATATACAGTGACAGGTTTGTAGGAGGGCTAAGTCTAACATCTGGGTTCTATTACTGGTGCGTGGCCTTGGTCTGCCTTGGTATGCGTGGGTGGAGCAGTCCTAACACATTTACTTAGTTCACATCACTACAGGACTCATCTGACGACATACAGTCTGACACAAGTACTCGCTGCAGTCACTCTAATTTCACGCATATTGGAATTTCCACTATGTTATTACTCTTCATAACACAATAATAAACAGAGGCATTTAATTGACATTGTACCAATAATTATCATATGAATCTCAGCGACACTAGGTGTTGTTGGGTAACGTTACATGTTGGTATGTTACTAAACGGTGACAAGCCTCTTTGATTTACAAGTATTATTTATGGGCTCATCAGATATGTGCACAAGGCCAAGAGATTTACATGTGGCCGTTAGTCATCCAAGGTTTATCCTTCGGTCTAACTAGTATACATGTACACTTGAGTTTTCAGTTTACATGGATAAGCCTACTTAATTGTACATTTGTTGTCGAGTTCTTGTTTGTATTTAGTAAACTCATCAGACTCCAAGAATTGGCCCTTTGCCTTAAGAAATTCCCTTCATTGTCCTCTGTGTCGGACTCATCTGACGACATACAGTCTGCCACAAGCACTCCCTGCAGTCACTCTTTCAGCTTTGTGTTGTGCGACTGATTTGCCCTTAATGCCCTCTTGTGACGATTCAGCTTCTGATCCCTCCAAAACATCTCAGTGATATTGACAGCACAAGGTATGGCGTTTGCTGTAAAGAAGTTTTCACATACACGTATACATCATCTGAAGTAGTCTAGAAAGAACTCTCAACGATAGCTGCCATGATGTCTTCATCTAGAGCAGCATGGCGCCCTTTCCCCTTGTAACTCGACGTTGCCAGCACTTGTTTGGTAACGTATATGTCCATCAGCTTTCTGAGGAAGCAGGACGCCTTGCCAACCCCAGTCAGCTGTGCATTAAGCAGTTGGCTGGGAAAGATCATCACTCCCAGGTTGGGAGTACCCAGTGGAATAGGTGACTGCACGGAACTCACGCAGTTTGGTCGTGACCCAATTTGCTCTAATAAGGAATGAAGATATGTCATACACTGAATTAAACAAATTTATTTAAATAGTCCCTGAATTAAGTATTGTGGTACAGATCATCATGATTAAAGTCGAGTTCTCGGTTGCAGAAAAGTACCAGTCCAAGGCACCAGTAGACCATATCTTGAAATGGACCATTGTCTCAACACAATTAGGAAAGGCTGTTGTGTTTAATACTAGACAAAGTCAATATTTATTCAGGACAGTAGCGCTCCCTTCTTACAATGAACGGGTTAAACCTGCCGTCACTACAGTAAGTGTAATATTATGTTCTATAAAATAAAGGATCCTTGTCTTTGTGATCTGAATGTCTGTCATTGATCAAAATAGATAAAACGGTCCAAGCTCAACAAGGAAATCAGTTTGGAAACTGTACATTGATCATCCTCATTCACAGGTGGATCTGAGATGAGGAAAAAGTATTAGATAAATATTGTTTGGAAAAAGTACAAATGTAGACCGTTATGAAGACCATTTTCCTACAGAACGTACCAACATTAATTTATTCAGGGAGTAAATATCTTACATGTAACAAGAAATCAAATACCTTGTACTTGAACACAAGCTGACCATCATGGCCTTTGGTGAACTTAGAGGTATGCGGGCAGCAATGCTATTCAGGGTCGTTGCTCACATCTCCAAGGAATGCCTTTAAGGCCTCCAATTCCCAGATCTGCGTGATCCGAGTCGAAGTCCACTTTGGATACATGGAATGAAGTCAACCAATGCTGTTTTTTTTTGCCCGTGACCAAGCTGTCAGGAAATTGATAAAGGCGTCTAACGCTGGTGTTAAACAGTGGCTAGCATTTTGACGTTTGTATTTTAAGACAAAAACCTGTATTTGTTTTAGCAAGTCTGTACATGTTAGCTTACATCCAAATTTCCTGTATAGCTGTGGTTCTAAACTTGCTAACTCCTCACATAGTTCTTCAGGTTCAATTGGCATGTTCGACATCTCATGGCGACTTCTGTCAACTGTATCCTTGTGGATGAAGATGAACTCTCGCTTTGTAACATATTTACCTTCACTACTTTTTACAACTTTAAGCTCAACTGTTAGCCTCTCCATGCGATACTTGAACATGCCATCAGCATGGCAGATCTTTACTCTTCCACTGATGACAGCTTGGTAGCCGCTTCCCTTTACTACAGCTCCCAAGCCGTCACACCGACTTTCCATGGCTTGTTTCATGGAAATTTCGGGTAATGTTCGGCTGCTTTCGGAGTGACATGTCGTAGAATGCCTTTTGTGCCTGTGGGTGTGGGGTGTGGGTGGGTTTAAAGTGGTAGGAAGATACTAAGTAACTTTACAAGGATATTAGAAGGACAGTCTTTGCAGCCACATGTGAAACCGCTCATATTCGATGTACGGCGAGTGTAGTCCGAGACTCAATACTGCTATCCTGTAAACTCTCGCACCATGAACAGCAGGGCGACGAAACTCACCAGAGCCAAGAGTCCTGACAGCGCCAGGACGATCCCATTGGTCCGCCGGTTTTTCATGGCGACCTACACAACTCTGTACCAGCACCTTCTGTCTTTGAGCTGCATTGAAGATGGTGCTTTGGTTGTTCCAACCTTAATCGAGGCAAACCGTTTTTGCAGCTGAATGCTAACTGGGTGTAATGGGACCCCCAGCTTCTCTGTACAGGTTTGAGGTCAGTGTGTGTTACCTGTGTTTTACAGGAGGTAGCTATTTAGCTATTTTAAATGATTTATGTATGCACTCAAAACAGAAAAATGAGAACAGTGCTGCGTTTCCACAGATAGGTACAAGAAGGACTGGCAGATGGCACATATGTATACATCAAGATTGCATATTGGCTCAAACCTGGCCTCATCAAGTGGCAGGTCATACGTTATCGAGTCAAGCAATTTTGCAAATGTCTGTTCGGTCAGGTTTTCATCACTTGTACTCTGTTCCTGTTCCTGTTCAACCTTTGTCAACTTGTCATCAGTCTGCAGCCTTGGCCTACCAGCCTTGGACTTCTTTTTTAATTGTCTCCCTCCTTTGGCGATAGACAAAACCTTTTCACAATGGATACATGGCCTGCCAAATGAGTGTTTATACCAAGACAAATTGTACAAACCTTGGGTGGTTTGTACAGCGAATGCGTCCACTTCGACCGCCCTTTAATAGTCTTCCTGCATTCGTGAGGGGATAGTGGCAATCCCGACAAAAACATCTTGACCCGTCAAACATGCCAAAATGGCCTCGAGTTGTGTGTCCCTGACTTCAAAGTCCCAGATGTCGCGGAAAATGCGCCGAACTCTGTCCTCCATCACTCCTCGTTTCAATTCTTCGACCCTTTCCCGGAATTTGTAGGTGCCGACGATAGACCTCAACATCTCCAGCTCCGTCTCTGGGACATGGAGGCGCCACGTATGGTATGTGTACCCATCAGGAATCAGATCCTTTCGGATGTGGTGAAGGGAATCTTCAAAGGAGAGTCCATCCTCTTCTTGGAGCAGGTGTAGTTTTTGTCTGACGTCCTGATGTTGAGAAACAAGGCATAGTACAGACTTAGTTTGGCAAACATAATACCTCCTAAGTATTTGCAATTTTAGCACATAGCATTGTAACTTCCATAAATGGGTCTGTCGTTTATGATGGATAATCTTCCAATGGTTAACATGTTTGCATTTGGGACATAGTGAATTTGATCAAGAGATGGGAACATTGTAAAGGTTTTTTGATTGGGATCAAATAATGTATGCCTAAACCTTATACATCTTAGGTCTACGTGGTAGTACCTGTAGCCTGCTGGGGTTATAAAAAGTGTCCCCTTTCTAAAGTCTGATTCAAAGGCCCGGAAAATAATGTATGGTGGCTTTGTGTTGGTAAAAGCCTGCCTACATCCTGCATACACCCTGGCTCTACAATTGCGAAGGTCTATCAAATGCCAAGGTGCAGTACTTGACATCCAGGGCCTTGGTGAATGACTTACAGATGGTGGAATGTTCTGTGCGGGTGGAATGTTCTGTGCGGGTGGAATGTTCTGTGCGGGTGGAATGTTCTGTGCGGGTGGAATGTTCTGTGCGGGTGGGATGTTCTGTGCGGGTGGAATGTTCTGTGCGGGTGGAATAGTGCCATCCGTACAGAACGTGACCGGGTGCGAGGTTGGAATATTCCAACTCGTTGAAACACTGGGCCGCGTCGTCCCACAACTGGAATAGGGTAATTCTGCGAAAGATCGCTGCGGGGTCGTGGTCATTGGTATACCAGTGGTTTGGAAAGATGTTTGTAGTAATCCAAACCCTTCTTGCGGCAAAGTTGACAAAGCCGCCCTTGATTGGTACACGCAACGGATAGCGGTCAACCATATTCAAAAAGGTTGGCCGGGGGATGTCGCCGTGGAAGTCGTTTAAAACAACATCACTTTGACCCATGTATCCGTCGAACCAGCCCCCTTCCGGTTTGTAGTAGGTGGTTGTGTCATCTGGCAGGTATTCCCGTACCAACCTACTCTTGCCACATCCCGGCGGCCCAACGAAGACGAAACAGCGGGTGAGGAAGTCGCGGGCCGGCTGCAGGCGGGCGTACGAGACATAGGCCTCTAGACCGCGGTGATGGCGTACAAAGGTCTCAGGCATTTCTTGCGCCAGTGCAGACAGGTCGCCGTCATTTTCCTGTAGGAAATTGGTGGCGGCCGTCAGGTCGTTCCTCTGCCCCTGTCTGATGGGATGTCCCATCCGCACGACGACGTTGCCATCTTTCGAGCAGTACCGCTCGTTGTCATGGTCGTTACCG